GCAACCCTTGATACTGAATTTATCGCACAAACCTTATCACAGTACTCCACGGAGGAAGCATCTACTGTGCAAAGCCAGATATATGTGGAACTGGATCAGCGGACTACACACGAAGCCAGGGCTCGGCTTCAATCAGAACTTGGCGAAATGAGGAGCATACTGAAGCGGCTTAGGGAGAGGACAAAGGGTGAATTCGCATGTTTCAAGAAACCGAGGAGTGGGACAGGGCATAAAGCAGCTTAGTTATCAACCTGAAGATTGGAAGTATAATTCATGCAAAGTTGAAGCAGATGTGTAGAAAACTCGATAAGTAACGGTAAGAGACATATCTAATGGGTATCATAGAAACAAGACTTTTTTCCGACCACCTCTATTTCCGTCTCCATGTGCAAGCTTTGTCTCTACGTTTGGCCAACCATGTGCTGAACCCTGTTGAGCAAGACCTGGCTCTCCCGGCCCAATCTTCTTTTGCCGTCCGGAGCAGGCTTCTTCGCCCTAGCCATGGCCTCGCGGTCTTTCTTTTTAAACTCCCGCTCTTCTCTGCGCCTCTCCGCCTCTTTCCTGCGTTTCTCCGCAATCTCCATTTCCTTTGCGAAAGCGGACGGTTTAGGTTTTCTTCTGTTCCGACGTTCACGGGGGTTATCATCCTGTGGCCGTTCAGGTCTGGGTGGTCGTTCCGGCACGGGCTCGTTCAACATGGCCTGTCGGTCTGGATGTAGCTCCAAAGACGCCGGGGCGGGATCAACGGCGTTATCGCCTTTGGCATCTTCACTCTCCACATTTTCCTCGGTCGCATAAATGGGCCTTTTGGGTGCTGACGCGAGTTCCTCGGCTTTGATTTTGGCATAGGCCTTTTTGACTTTGGCCTTTTGGATCAGGTCGGACTTTATTTTTTGGGCTGCAATTATGTGGAATGGTCAGTAAGCGAATTGGGTAGGACAACAGTGGAGAGCAGCGTGAGGAGGCGATATCTACCTTTGCGACGGTAGGTCCCATCAGGCAGGTTTGCAGGACCAACTGAGAAGCCCTTCCTCTTCTTGACTGGGGGTTCTGTGGTCCGCTTTTCCTCCGGATTGGCATCGGCGTCACGAGAGCGTTTGGCCATAGTTGATACGATAGGATTCGTTTACAGAATAGTCGAAGCCGTGTGTCGGGCAACAATTGTGATATTGGACGTGGCAAGTGATGTGGGATTTGCAATCCTATTCACGGCAGGTTAATTTGAGTGACCCGAAGGGGAAATTTTCAGGCGAAATTTCTCAAGCGACTCGTAGATAGTTAGCGATAAGCACTTCAGAGAGCGTTTCTGACTCGATATGAGATTCTCAATAACTTACAAGTTAAGACGTGCTAGCGTTTGATAGATCAAACCAAGATTGCCCAAGAGCGGGATGACGATCCAGAGAAAATCCCGGTCAAACGATACAAACGATGATGCTGATGATGATTCATGCTGTTGCTCCGCCGAGTTGCCGACGGTCTCCTCCTCCACCAAACCACGAGCCAGCATCTCTTCGCTTCGTCTGCCGTTCTTCAGTGGATCCTTTTATTGTTTCATATTTCAGAGTCTTCTTCGCCCTTATTTGAATCCTAGCCTTGATCTTTCCTCCCGTCATCTTCCTTCCATGGTTGGCCCCCTTGAGCAAGTCATACATCAAGGTCCTTATCGGCGCCGCCACCACTCCTGTCGTACCACTGCTGCACCTACTCCGTATTTTCACTTTAATACTTTCTGTGGACTCCTTACTATTTCTGGTGGTTTGCCTTTGCGATGATTCACCTCTCATCTGGTTTTATTGGGAGTTACGATCGTCGGTGACCATGCCTATCTTTCAAGACCCTGATCGTCAACGGTTCTATGACCGGTGGTCGGATGACCACCCTCAAGAGGTTGAGCAGCAAGCCGGCTCTCCCTCATGGGTTCGCTGCCATGAGGACAGCAAAAGGCCTCGCTCTTCTGGACGGAGTGCGGGCGTATCGAATGAAAGCTGCACGTCGAGTCCCAGTTTTTCGAGGTTGCGAGCAAGCGATCGGGAGGAGTTGATACGGTATATAAAAAGCGCCGATTCTTCTGCCTGGGCTCAGCATGATTTGGTATGTTCTCTAAGTCTGACTGTGTGATCGTCCTTTTTGGTGGCTTGCTGACCCAAGTATTATTGAATTTAGTCTCGAGAGACCGATTCCCGTCCTATCAAGTCATGCGCATCTGACGAATGTCCACAGACGCAGGAGCGCTCGGATTCATTTAGGAATTCTATGGATATGGACCACCAGAAGGAGCCAGAGGAACTTGCTTCGCCAGCCGAGATTCAACGCCCTCGTTCGGCTCTGCATTCTGGCGACTTTCGAGAAGGCATTGCTCAGGATCAGAGCCAGCAACAAGCACCGCGGTCTCCCAATCCCAAATGTCGCTCTCTCGCGCAGTTTTCTCAATTAAGCTCATCTCCCACAACGCCGTGGTTTACCACTCCTATCTTTTCCGCCCCTTTCCGAGGGCAGGAATTTGGTCATCAGCAAGAAGAGACTACGAACCCAGGTCCGCGGTCACGAGCACCGTCTTTAGGGTCATACTCCTCCAGTTACGTCCTGAAAACTCCGACGAGTCCTTTGGTTCACCAGGCAAATAACACTGATCTGGACTTCTCACTGAAAAGTGAGTACTGCGAGCATCCTCCAGCTTCGGATAAAGCCAGTCGCCGTCGCACACTGCCTCCAGAGACATTTCGGAATCTTCAGGTTCCGTCTTCGCCTTATTCGCGTGTGATTAACATTAACACCGGTCATTCACCTGGAACCTTTCACGATTCATTCTCGTTCCAAGCGCGTCAACCACGAAAACCATTGACCTCGTCATACAGTCTTCAACTGGCTTCATCAGTCCAACATCCATCCTGGAGAGCCAGGAGACCCTCACTCGCTGGCGAACTATCCTGCAAGACCCATGCGCCACTGGTAGGCTCTTACGAGGAGTCGATCCTCCGCGGAAGAATGTCAATGAATCCGTCCAAACCACTCGACTTCACTGCCCAAATTGGTGTGCTAGGCAAAGGAAACTGCAAGTCGAGTCTAAGATGCCCACCACACGTCACAGTTCCCTTCCCTGCGGTCTTTTACAGTTACCCTACTTCTGGAAAGGGTCGCTCCATTTCGGACGATAATCCAAGCCCCTATGTGGGTATGATTGATCTCGAGAATTCCTTGCCTAAGGACAACTCATACGTCACTCGCCGCCACCGACATCACCGAAGCCCTGCTGGTGCATCCAAGGACCAAAGGACTGATGTCGACGTCGGGCCGGAATATCAGACCCAGGAAGCCCTACGCATGAGGGAGAAGCGAAATCGACGAGCCGATTCACCCAAATGCCCGCCAGGCGGATGCTATCGTATACCGCAACAAGGCCAGCTGCAAATCATGATCAAGAATCCGAACAAGACGGCTGTCAAACTCTTCCTTGTACCCTATGATCTCAGCGAAATGGAGCCCGGCACCAAAACTTTCATACGTCAAAGAAGTTACTCGGCAGGCCCCATAATCGATATGCCTTTGTCCGCCAGGAAGAACCTCGGCACTGATCGTCCGGAGGCGTCTTTGAGCGTATCTGAAAATCCCAATGACAAGCCTATACTACGCTATTTGATCCACTTGAACATCTGTTGTCCTTCAAAGGGTCGTTTCTATCTCTACTCGAGCATTCGTGTCGTGTTTGCAAATCGGGTGCCTGACGGTAAAGAAAAGTTGCGAAACGAGATCCAACACCCCGATCCTCGGTATACACCATATAAGCCAGTCCGTGACACGAACGGTACTAATATACATTCGAAATCGGCGAAAGGGTACCCAGAAATCGCTGCGGGTCCGGCTTCATTGCCAGGTCCCAGTGCGGCAGGGGAGTGCTCTTATTTTCATCATGCTTCACACTGTCACACGATGCCTCTTATCAATTCAGTCGATGAAGCAGCTGCCGCAAAGCATCATTACGAGATGAGACTTCATCCTTTCCAGCGCGTCCCGTCCCCTAGGGAAACCCCGCTTTCCCAGCGTACTTCTGACGACAATGCAACGGAAGCCAGGACTTATCGTAAACTCAGCAGGGGTGACCTCGGATATGGTGGTCTTCCCTTCAGCTCTTCTGGCGTATCTGAAGCCGGGGAAAGCTTGCTTGCAAAGAGGTTGAGAGGGCTAGATGTACAAAAACATGAGTCCTCGTCTCTGAATTGAGTTGTCGATGCAACACGTGCGACGATGTCATTCTCGGCGCCTGTTCCGCCTTCCGAAGCAGTATTCCATCGGTATACCTTGTTCTTTCAACCTTCCATATCATTCTTCATTCTTTCTTGTTATCCACCTTCTCCTTACCATGATTAGCTTGGCCAAATCTGCACATAGCAACAGCCTCGACTAACGACACAGTACTATATCGCAAGATGCGGGCATCTTTCAAATCTTCAATTGTCTTTGCTTACTCAGACTAAGTGCAAATAGACCAGGCGCTCAGGAACCACGCGATATACCCATCTCTGTCATTGCGCTCACAGTCAATCTTACATTCAGCCTTCATTGTTCATAATCAGCATGAGACTCACCTTCATCTTCATGTTACGTGCCGACACGTGGCTTGTCTCATTCGTTGGTGTTAAGTCTATAAACTCTAATCCGCTAATATTCCGTTATCTTGGAGATTCACGTATATCTTGAGGTCTACTTTCGCTTTCGGCGTCCGGCAATGGCTTCTTGGGCTGTCACATGATTGTTTTCTACAAAGTCGACTCAATCAACATTTTCTTTCAATGCAGATAGTATAATGAGTACCGGTGGTACTTGGGGATATTTCTAGCAAAGACCGTTACAAGCCCCTTCAATTATGCTATTTTATCTACAATCGTATCTAAATACAGAATGAATATGATATGAGATTGAACCTGTGCTCTCGAACGGTCCAAATGTCCTAGTCCGTAGCCAGGGTAGATATCCGGGATTATATCCAAAGGAACAAACGCCTAGCCTGCGTGCTCGACAATTTCGCTCACGAGAACCCCGTCTTTGACATACGACTTGATCTGTTCCGGAACTGGACACTCCTTGGTATCCTCATCGGTTCCCTCCTTAGGCGGGAGCATGACGTTGATAGCCGTGCATTTACTAGAGAAGACCTCGGTAGCCAAGCTCTGCTGTCCAAGGTAGATGGTCGCACCGTCGACTTGGTCAAGCAAAAGAGTGGGCACGACCCCGTCAATCTGCAGAGCAAATTTGGGAGACTTGATGACGTCGAGGCTGCTGACAAGCGAATCCACAATGATGGAAAGACCGTTGCAGTTGTCGATGGAGATTGCGTTGGCCTTGTTGTTCACCTTCACGATAGTCTTGTTGCAACGGCTGATTAGGATAGATTGATTCTGCTGAGCGGAAATCTCGATGATGCCACCGGGGTTATCGAAATTCTCAAGGAGCCACTTGTTGCCTTCGAGCTCTTTACGCGGCGGCTTACGAGCACGCATGCTCTCCGGCTTGGGCTTCTTGCTCGGGGCAGGTGACTTGGAGCGAGAAATGCTACCCTGAGAGCTTGGGCGTTCAGGCACCGTTGCGCCCGCACGCAGGCTGGGGTTCTTGTGCGTCATCTCGGATTTATCAACCTTGCGGAGTCCGGAGGTGACGGCGTTGCCTTGGTTCAGCTGCGCGAAGACTGCAGACATGTCTGCTGCTGCTGCAACGGGCGCAGGAGGGACGCCGGGTGGCGGAGGGGGGGGAGGTGGGACTCCTCCAGGGACGTTCAGAGTTGGCACGGGAGGTGGAGGAGGGGGTGGTGGTGCCTGGCCGGAAACGCCGCTTTTGATTTGCCTAAGCGCTTCCTGCGCATCAATACCAGATTCCTGGTTCCAGGTGAGTCCTTTGGGATAATGTTTCTTCAGGTACGCAGCTAGCGACTTGAAAATCTGGTAGTAGGCTTGGATGTACTGAACGTGAGTTTGGTCCCTGTTGCAAAGTCAGTAATCCATGGCCGACAAGCCCACAGTGGGGTTCGTACTTCTCCTTGTACTCCTTCAACACCTTGTTTCCATAATACTGGATGCCTCCGACAATCTCGCTGACGAAATCAGCAGGCTTAGGCTCAAAGAACCAGCCCAGAGCAACTATGCCTTCCGCGACAGCGCTAAGGTGATTAAAGAGAGGGGAGGCTCTGTTTGACTCGCGGATGTTATTGATGGTATCAGAAGCATTGTGGAGCTCAGTCATGAGCTCTGGTGGCTGAGGTTCGGGCTTTCTCGCCTTTGTCGAGACGTAAAGGTAGGTGCGCTCGGCTTCGAAAGCTTGAAGAACAGCCTTGGACTGTCGAAGAAGTCAGAGAGACGGACACAAGAACGGAGCCTTAAGCTCGAGTTGCTCACCTGCTCTGCTACAAGACCACCGATCTTCTTGCCGAGATCCACGAAGCTTCGAACATCCCCATTGATCAACGCATCGAAGTCTTCTATTTGGGGCGGAAGCGAAGGGGCCACGAGAGGCGCTGGGGGAGCAACTGTATTCACTGGAACAGGCGCTGCAGGTTCAGGAGTTGCTGCACTTCCGACGTGTTTCGGCGAGTGAGGGTCATCCAGCGACATAGCCATGTCCTCCAAACGGGAGGTCGCGGCTTCCAGCCTGTCGAGAGGTATACATTGTCAGTGAAACGGAATATGCAAGCCAATGCTAGAAGATGAATAATGAGAGATTTAGCTGAAGCTTATTGCTCAAGCTTCGGAGACTTTCTTCAGGTACGTACCGCTTGATAAGAGTAGTCATATTATGCATGTGGTTGCTGGTTGCCATCTTGAAGACCAAACCCCTGGCGAAGCAAGGACAATGAAACTAGGATGAACAAGTTTGGACTCTTAAGGCTCAATTCTCTGGTACCCTTGCTTTAGCTGAAATCAAATCAAGGAATACGACGATGATAGGACGAAAGGCGAGTAAATTCAACCTCAGAGCAACCACCTGGGAATGCCTGATTCCTGCAACGGTGTCGGGTTCCAGAGTCCAGACGATGATGAGATGCTCCTGACCCGTTTCTTCCTGAGGCCGCAAGCTCCACTGTGTGGGGCTTACAGTACAGTACACGTCAAGTTAGGGTGTGCACAGTTAAACATGACGTTGTGTGTATAAATTTGTATCATATTTACCGACACTCATAAGTATGTTATCCTTATCACTGAGCTCTCATCTGATTCTCCGCTTGAGGATGAGCGACGTACCTAGTACAGTTCGACTTTTTGTCTGGATACCGATAACTGTTGAGCTCAGTATTTAGCCACAATACAAATATGAGCACGGATAGTCAGGTCCAGGGCGATGTCGAGTTCTGCACTCTGGGCATGTTCATCCTCGGTATGCTATCATTGCACGGTCATTGCCGGATATATCGCTGCACCACATCAGATACTTACTCACATAGATGATATCGACTTTGGAGGATCTAGACCCAATGTGAAAAATATCATTGGTGGTGCAGCCTCTTATGCTGTAGTCGGTGCCCGCCTTGTTGCTGGAAAGGAACATTCGAGCTCCGTAAGCTGGATTGTGGACGTTGGCTCAGACTTTCCTACCGAAGCTCTAGGCGTCATCAAGTCATGGAATACCAATTGTGTTATCAGAGAAGATCCCGCGAGGCTGACCACTAGAGCATGGAATGGATATGGGCCAAATGAAAAGCGAGGTTAGTATATTCTCTCGTTCTGCAACCGTCGTGTTGTTACGAAAGGATAGATGATAGTGATTCGGAATAGATTTCAAGTATCTGACGCCTAAATTGCGTCTCGAGCCTTCAATGCTCTCTGACTCGCAGGTTTTCTCGAAGACATTCCACATGGTCTGCTCTTCATCTCGTTGCATAACCATTGTTGAAGATATTCTACGCAGACGTCACGATTTGCGGAAAGAGGGCAAGGCCCCTTCCGCCATTGGCGCCACGGAGAGACCGATCTTCGTCTGGGAGCCTGTACCTGATCTATGCACACCGGAAGAACAGGATAAATTCTTGGCAGCAGCTCGAGTAGTTGATGTGGTCAGCCCCAACGAGTTGGAGCTGGGCATGATGTTCGGCCAGCCCGGGTGGACCGAGGATAGCGAGTTCGGTCGCGATGTCGTTACTAGGATCCTCACGTCAGGCATCGGGCCCGAAGGCCAAGGGCATTTGGTAATTAGAGCAGGAAAAGACGGTAGCTACACATTGTCAAGGAAACAGAGGATATGGCTCCCCGCCTACCATCAGCCTGGCACTTCTGGGGCTACAGCTGTTGTGGATCCTACAGGAGCTGGCAATTCGTTTCTGGGGGCTTTGGCACAGGGCATCATCAGTTCAGAAAGAGATCCAGCCCTGATCATTACTTCCGTGCTTGCGGAGTGTGGAAATTGGCAGACTATCACGAAGGCATCGGCAAAACACAGAGATATGCTGGTGGCCTTGATATGCGCCACTGTCGCTGCAGGCTTCGTGGTTGAACAGATTGGCGTGCCCCGTATAACGATCTCAAGCGAGGGGAAGGAATTGTGGAATGGAACTGAATTCACGGAACGAGTCCGTCTGTACACGCAGAGATTGTATCGAACATTCGAAGAGTCTCCCCGAAAGCACTTTCGGGACAACTGACCGATTGGAGAACGCCCTTTTATTGTCGTACAGCCCGCAAATAGATGAAACAAATACCAATCATGCCATAGACCTCTTCCCTCGTTTCCACTGCTCTTCCCACCACGCGCTTTTATTGCTTGGTAGCTTGCTGCTTCTCGTGTTCAATGATTTGCTTGCTCCAGCTGGGAGGGGGGGAAAATGTATCATCAGCATGCGACTCCCACACAATGGAGAAGGGGAGGGTCGTTCACTCACTAGCGACTAGGGAAGAATCTGCCGGGCTCTGGCATCCTGTCCCGATGTTCACGCTCGGCACTGATGCTCCAGGTAACCGCGACAACACCAAGGATAGCAGCGCCCATGATAGCAGTGTTGACTCGCCAGTTTGCAGGCTGAGCATACCAGCCTCCAGCTGGAGACCAGACTTCCTTGGGGTACCTGCGAGATGGATGAGTTAGCCCACTGTAGCAACATCTTACCGCACCACGGTAGAATCAAGCACATACGGGATCTTTCCGCCTCCACCCATCTTTGTCTGTAGAGAGATAAATGAATGGACGAATAAACGGTTTGACAATGGCTTGCGGGAAAAGCGCTATATTCAGGCTGTTTGAAGCCGACTTGACCATCGACGTCCCTCGTCCAGAGAAGCCGTGACGCTAGCACCAAAAATGGCTTAGTGCCAGCATACGATCACCCGATCCCGTGACTTCCACTGAGCTCAACTTTTCTCCAGCGATCAAAAGTTCGCATGCCCGATATACTTGAGCAGTCTGGATTTCCCCATATCCCTGCACCGCATTTTTCTGGACGGTCGTACTCTTTTACCTTGGTCTCTCTTGGCTCAAGCCCCTCGGGGATAACACTTTTGTCCAGATGAAAAGGCTGCAGCTCCTTCGATGGAGCAGTTCGGTCCTTTCACCACGGGCACGAACCAACGGCCGCTTGCACCAGCGTCTATGTGCTAGTTTACGGTATCAATCGACATCTTCGCCTGTTCTTCAAGGCGAAGAACACCAGCTGATTGAAGAGCAACCTTTGCATTCAACAATTCCTCCCTCCAACTCACGACAGTCGAGATACCTCCTCCCTTCTCCCCCAGTTGAAGCCGCACGCGAGTCCGCAAAACTTGCCGCGCTCCATGCACGACTTTACCTCCCCTCTCGATTACCCCTCGAAACACTAGCACGCGCGCTGGTGGACACTTCAGCGGATCCGAATCCAGATTTCAACAATGAATCGTTGGCTACGTTGGGCCATGACCTTCTGACGAACTACACCTCCGAACACCTCATATGCACATACCCCCGACTTCCTCTGACTGTAATCTTTGCGGCCATGTATGCGTATGTCGGACCGAAAACGCTTTCGGCAATGGCTAGGGAATGGGGTGTCGAGATGACTGTCGCCCCTGGAGGAGAGGTTGACCCCGGCCTTTTGCAGTTCAAGAGGGTCTCTCCCGGCACGGATCTTAATTCAGAACCAGTAACAGGTACAGCAAGACCCAACGAACATCGGAAGTCATGGAGGAAGTCGATCACGTCCAGAGTTGTCTACGATAACGAATTCGGTGATCCGGTGAAGGAAGTCGCCGACTCAGCGGTCCAGACTGTCGCAGAATCCAACAACGCTCAAGGCGTCACGGCCGAACAAGCCAGTGCTACTTTCGTGCGCGCCGTCATGGGCGCCATCTATCTGCATGCTGGCCGCCCTGCTGCCAAGCGTTTCTTTGAGCAGCATATCCTGTCACGACACCTCAACATCTCTGAGTTGTTCAATTTCTCCCAACCGGCTCGTGACCTCACCCGGCTGTGTGCGCGAGAGAACTTTGAACGCCCTGTCGCCAAGATCATCAGTGAAACTGGTCGTAAGAGCAGACACCCTGTCTTTGTTGTCGGTATCTACTCTGGTCAGGATAAGTTGGGCGAAGGCGCTGGCGCCAGTCTGATGGAGGCCCGATCGAGGGCTGCTGTGGCCGCCCTCAAGGGCTGGTATTTGTACAGCCCGCTGAACGTTCGTGTGCCCAGCTCGATGGAAGAAGAGGGCGCTGCGCCCTGGAAGCCTGTTTATGTCGACTTGGGCGAGGTGATTGTGTAAGATAGATTGGAAAACGATCCGATGCCAATGTCGCGATGGTGATGTATTATTTTGACATAAATGACTGTTCATGGGACAGTTCGACAAACGTCTCCTTACTACTCGTTTACAAGATCAGGTGTTGTACAGTACGGGCAAATCTATTCTATTCGTTCCATGTCTTTCCTATTTTGTTTATTTCTCTTCTTGTCGTGCCGTCGATTTGGTCAAATGTCCCGGTTCTTTCTTCGTCCCCAGGAATTGAACATCGGAACAGAATGTGAGTAGGAAATGGATACTTACATTAGCAGGTATCAATGTATAGAAGTACCAATAGACTCTTGCAATGTTACTGGGCAGAAATCGAGACATCGGTGCCTAGTACTACAATTCCTTCCCCGGGGCAGGACCCCGAGCATGTACCTAGAGCACTTGATGATACCACAATCACGTTACTCGGGATCGATGATCTCGTCCTTCCAGTCACCACCATTCCTAGAGCTATCTAAATATTCGCCATATTCTTCCCAAAGCTCTGAAATACCCTTCCCGAATAGGCCCCTCCAGAAGCTCTTCGTGTCTTGATTTTCAGACTCCGAGTCCTCGCCTACGTATCCGACCCTCAGCAATCTGTCGTTTAGCATGCCAACAGCACCATTCCCGACCCGCACATCCTCCAACCACGCCAGAAAGTACGCCGTGTGTTGATATCCCTCATCCCACTTCGACGGTCGTTCCTTGGCAGATGTTGGTCGTTTCCAGTGTGGAGGCTCGAGGCCCGCCTTCAGACGAACAAAATCGGCAATACCTTCGATCAAACCACCCGGAGGACGAGGCACGGAGGCATTTTCATCTCCCTTCGGCGCTGCATGCTGGTAGCAATGGACCAGCTCATGGGTCAAGACGCCGGTGATTTCGGCAGTAGGGTCTGGATGTTTTTCCGCGCTGGACTTGATGTATAATAGGGACAAGTGGATTTCCTTATGGTCATCGTCGAGCTCTATGCCGGTGGTGTACGCGACTCCGTCGATATCGCGGAGAAGGACTGTCACGGAGCGGGTGGGTGGGATACATGGTGTGAAGGACGGTCTGGGATATTTCTTGGCTGGGGTGTTGCTCGACTCGTTTGGCGAAAGTGAGGGGGCTGTATAGAGGTGTCGTACAATGGCTTTTAGCGCGGTTTCGAGGGTTGATGCCACATCGGGGACCAGGGAGATGAACGATAATGTAGCCGGATGGCGCAGATCGTTAAGGTGAAGACGGAATTTGGGTCTGGGAAGCTCAGGTTCTGGCTTTGGCGAGATTCCGCCCGATGTCGTTTGGCCCTGGCTGGATTGGAGGTCATTGGGTCGAGGAATGGTTTTGGGGATTGCGGAGGGGAGTGGGCTTATCGAAGATGTCATCACAGCTGCCTCTCTTGATCAGCGCAGAGATTATATGAGAGGTGCGACAAAACTGTAAGATGTCCTAGCTTTTATCGTCCAAAAGTAATGGCAGATTCCAGCTAGGAGTCGGCGCATGTCTGGACACAGATGAGATTCATTAAGTAGAGCCGAGACAGTGGCGTTCAGCCGCATATGCCGTGAGCTCCGGTACGCAGGATATACATTGCGCCCTTCGGCGGAAGTATGCAAAATGTAGGTACAGCTTTAGTACCTACACCTTACCTATACTACTATGTCTGCAGTATAGTACGGAGGGTTCATGCAAACAAAACTGCCAATCAACTTCACAAAGTATCTAAGGTATTTGCAATCAATCTTGTCAACCAACCAAACCTCGAGTCAACAATCTCAATCTCCGCATGTTCATGGTCCAAGTGTCTTTCATTGAAAAGATCCACCTGTTGGAGGGGCGATCGCGGAGTCGAGTCAACAACCTCGGACATGACGTCGAGTTATCTACGGAGTACTAGGAGTATCATTTGTGGACTTTACGGATTACCGAGTCAATCGGGAATCTCATTCAACAATAATAAAAGCGATATCAGAGGTACAGAACCAGTATTATGATTATTCGCGTAGTGAGTAGGTATGTAGAACTGAAGCAGGAAGCTGGTCCTTCGCTGCACCTGGGTGTGGATATATATCTGCACTAGACGGGAGGGGCCACTTGTTGACATAGAGCATTTCTGTTTCTGCGACAGGAAAAAATCCCTAGCTCACCCCTTTCTTCCTCCTTTCCATTTATCTTATCAGCTACACATTACCTTCCATCGATCCACCTCATCGATTGAGTATCGCATTCATACATTATCCCAGGTATGTTCAATCCTCGCCCGAACCAAAGCAGTTGGGTAGCATCGGCTCACCAAAAGCAGGAAGTTGTTGTTTTCCCCCACTCGGTCTCCCTCGCCGTAACCATGGCTCCTGCGACCAGCGGGTAAACAAAGCGGAAAAAGGCAACAAGCAAGTTATTCCCTCGCGACAAGCGTGCTCCGCTACTCCTGTTACTCTCTGCAGCGATATCTGTCCTATAATTTCCCGGCAGACATTATATACATCGCGATTATTCTACATCACATTAGACACTCTCACTGTGGAATACTTTCCAAGCGCTTATCGCCGCGTCTAATCGCTTATCGGACATCTCCCCTCTGTCCATCGCCGCTTTCCATATCCAACTTCACCTCGCCGACTTTACCTCATTTCCCTCCAACCTTCCTTCCTCGTCGCCAGCGGTACCTGAGTGCTTTCCGTCGGAACTCATTGACAGCGGCCTTGACCTCGCGACTGCCTCCCGTTCGACCAGGTATGTGTACTTTCCTTCGTCCTCGTCGTCTTATTGACAGTATATTACCCTCGCCCTCGATCGCCCACCCTCTTCTTCTTCTCTTTCTCTTTCCCATCACAGTTACTCCGTTCCAGAGCGATTCAATTGCTTTTCCACTGTGTTTAACACTGCGTTTCAACCCTTCTCAAACATTACGTTTTCACTCCAAAAGCTCTCTATTTCAGAAGCTCTGAAACCTGTCGGCTAACCATTCGTCATGGAGTCTTGCAGATTAGTGCCCGTTGGTTCCTTGAACCCATCTGCCTGGGACCGTATCACGCTTGCATTGGTCCTCACTCTGCTCATTTCCTGTAGCCCTCACAAGTTTCTGTGCTACCTCTTTACCTTCTGTTACCTCTATGTTCCTCTTGTTGTGACCAAAGCCCAGGCCCAAAATATCATTTCCATGATGGAGATCAAGGCGGCGGAGTTGGTGGCGGCTTTGAAGAATTCCAACATGTCAATCGATACCAAGGTCGCCCATCTCCAATGCGTCAAATCCGACATCAAGCAGAAAAATGTCCCGGAGGGGGCAGTCCCATCGATTTTTGAGTCCATACGCCTGGCAATTGCTTCCCAACACTCGTCCCTGTCCGGAGCCGGCTTCTCCACACTCGGTCATTTTTTGAAGCGGCTACTCATTCAGGAGCTGCATCACTTGGTCGCACTACAATGTCGTGCTTTGTATCCTTTGCTTGTAGAGCGTCTGGGAGATCATAAAGAACGTATTCGTGCTCAAGCTGCGCAATCGTTTACCGACATGTGGCTGGCAGCCCCCGAAGAAGTTGAGCAATGTGTTCTTGGACAGGCGCTCGTTGGCAAAAACCCGAGAGCCAAAGAGATGAGTATGATCTGGCTGTCGAACGTGAGTTCTCCTTTCAATCTACGGAAGGCTTTTCTTCATTTCTGACCATCCTCTTGCAGATGACTAAGAACTACGGTCTGTTGTTTCGCTCGTATGTGTCGAGTCTCGTTGCATGCCTGGAGGATGCAGACAGCAATGTGAGAAATACGGCCAAGAACACTGTTATTGAACTGTTTGAGTCCGTGGCCCTCTGACTGCATTATTTTCGAATGTCTTTTCCGCATACTAACAGTAACTAGACACGCCTCTGAACGAGCCAAGTCCGATCTGAAAAGACAAATGGCTGCACACAATGTTAGAAAATCTTTTGTCAATGCAATTCTTGCAAGCATCGAGAACGGTACTTCCGATATGGATGCGGCCTCACGACCTGTTTCCCGAGCTGAAGCTCTTGTTCATCGTCCTGTATCTCGTGCGGAAACACAATCTTCCAGATCAGTCTCCCGCCTGGACACCCATCAGCGACCAGCTTCCAGAATGGAGCTCGCACAATCCTCTGTTTCGCACACGGAGGCTTTGCCTCCTCGGCCAGTCTCGGTCTTGTCTTCTCGTTCTGACACTCACAAGGAAGTTACGAAGGAAGGTAAGTTTGGTCGTTTCTTCGCACCGCCTTTAACCTCGTTCGATGCTGACTCTTCTGTGCCATTTCTCAGTCATTGGAGCGGAGCGCCCCAAAAGCCGTCTTACTACTGCAAAGAGCGAGCCAAACTGGGCTGCTGTCTCTCACACGGGCCCCGCGGAGGTGTTGCCTCTGCCAAATTCTCGCCCTGCTTCACAAGAAGGTGAAAAGGTCGACGCCCTTTATGTTTCATCGTCAAGACAAGTCGACGAAATGTTTCGTGACATGATGCCACACTTCGAAGGTCGCGAGTCTGAGGACAATTGGATACGTCGTGAAAAAAATGTTCTCACCCTCAGGCGCCTCACCCATGGCAACGCGCCAGACGATTATTCCCCGGCATATCTTGCCGGTTTGAAATCCTTGTTAGACGGCATATTCAAAGTTGTCAATTCACTTCGTACCACTGTCTCGACCATGGGATGTCTCCTCATCCAAGATATTGCTAAGCGATGCGGTCCTCGGATCGACTCCATGGTCGAAATCATGATGCAAAATCTGATCAAACTCTGCAGCGGTATGAAAAAGATTAGTGCCCAAAACGGTAATGCCACGGTCGATGCTCTGATCGAAAATGTCACTTTCACAACCCGTATTTTGCAGCACGTTTCCGGAGCTTGTCAGGATAAAAATGTCCAGCTTCGCCTTTTTGCGGCCGGTTGGCTCAAAACCTTGATCCAAAAGCAAAGTCACCATAAGAGTTCGATTGAACACGGTGGAGGGTTGGATATGATTGAGAAAAGCATCAAGAAATGCCTTGCCGAC